AAAGCAAAAATGGAAATGAAAGTGAAGCAGTCACACTGTGGTACAGTTAAAGGGACAGAGGGAGGAACCGAAGAGAAGAACTAACAAATTTTACGGTTTTAGAATAACTGCTGAACATATTCAGATTGAAATAAAGAGCTTTCTGAAGAGTTTTGACATCCTTTTACCTCGGTGTCTATCCTGCAGCTATACGCTGCTTTGTTTTACCTCCTCCTCAATTTTATTCCTCGTTCTGTGATTCATCTCTTACCAATTCTCCGAACTGTCATTAAAACTAAAGTAGCCGTATATTCTAGCCCCATACAGTGACACTGACCAAGATCAACCTCAACTGTCAATGATCAAATCTTTTTTTTATATATATATATATATATATATATAACAATACAATCTTTCTTTTATTATAGTTTAGGCTTTTTGTTATTTAGGGTGTCGCACTATATTGATTTTTTTATTATTTTGCTTGATTCTAAAATAATAAAATTATGAATAGGTTGATTAAGAGCCAACTTCAGTTTTGGACACTGCTGCTGGTGAACATATCAGTGGCCTTTTTGTATTCTATGCAGAAACTGACTAGAATTCTGGACATATTGTGTGGTTGTGAGCTGTGGTGAACCTGATATTAAACCCCTTTGTCTGGCATTGGAGAGCACTTTATTTGTATTTTTTTGGAGTGTTTCAGAGTATGGCACCACCAGGTGCTGATGTCCTACATTTTCTTCCCCCATAAAAGAGACCTTTGCATGTCAGGAAGCGGTTTGTTTTTGAAAGCTTTGTTTGTCGTAAGATCATGATAGACGGCGTGATGGAAGCTATTAGTTCAGAAACTGGAGTCATGAGTTTGTCATGCACTCCCAAGGTCTGTGGAGTCGACCGTCTTGCAGTGTATTTGTGAGGAATATTTTCACACGGTAATGAAATTGAAATCAGACATTAATGTCTTAATCAAATTTATTTATAAAAATACACCTTAAAATTTTAGCATATGGATACCACTATAATGTATACAAGTATCCCTTTAGTATGAAACAAAATTAAGTTGCATGGCCACTTTTATTATTAAATTAGATATAATTCCGCTAATGAGATAGATTAGTCGTGGTTGCCCTTTTAAGAGTTAACTAAGCTGTGCTGATCCACGGCATGGGCTGTGTTGTGGCCACATTTCAGCGGTGTATATTTATATATGGCTAAATAAATGTCTTGCAAGCTATCATAAAGTCTATAATCAGTCAGTGGAGTATGTCAACAGCAAACATTCTTCGCATGGCTTGTCTTTTTAGGAGACTCGTTTCTATTCCCTTTTGCGCAGATGGATGTACATGATTCCGCTGCACAGGAGCAGAGGTACACAAACCCACGCCAAGTAAAAACAGTAACCGAAGTGTCCCGAGCTCAACTCCCGCGAGTCCTCAAGGATTTCTTTATTGCGCAGAGTGTAAATGAGCACGGCGGTGAAGGCGTTGAGGCCTGAGAAGACAGAACAATAGAATAGTTTTTTTTTCTCTCTACTTCAGAGCAACTGAAATGAGTGTTTATGTGTTAAGTGTTTGACGGCTGAAGACGGTAACCTCGAGTAATACAACAAATTAGGTTGAAGCACTCACCAGCAAATGCCTGGCAGACGCCGGTGAGGTAAAAGAGTCCTCCTTTAGATATGGTGAAGAGTTGTCCCAGGAATATCAGGAATGAAATGGCGGAGAAAACCACAGACAGGACCATCAGAACCTGGACAGCCTGAAGCCAGTCTGATGGAAACAAAACAGAGACTGTTCTGCTTTAAACAGTGGTGATGTATGTTAGAGTAAATTCCCATTTTCCAAAATCACTGAAGTGCTCAAATGTATTATTTTACCCGTCTCTTCTGATGATGCACAGAACCATGCCTCTGTTTCATTGTCAAATCGGCAGTTGTACCAGAGGTCTGAGTGTTCTGTGCCGTCCCAAACCCACCAGGACTGAATCATACAGAAGATTAAATATGCATTCATGATTTCAGACATATGCACACTATTCTAATAAATTAACAAATAGTTTTTAGGGATTATTTGTTGCAAAGTTTCAAATACTTGCCTTCTCCATGGTGGCGATGAAGAGAACCGCCAGTGTGATGAGATGAAGCAGTGTGACAAATATCAGAAGGGACGCCATGGTGATAAACAGCACCTGTCAACATCTGGAACTTTCACATCTGTATTTCACTTTTTCACTTTTAAAAAATATGTAAATTATTTTATGCAACGTGTATGTATTATTATATTGTTTATAAACACATTTCACTTAAACGGTTTAAAATATTTTATATTATATTATTAAAAAATATGTATAATTTATGTATTATTGTTTTATTATAATAACTATATTATAATTGTTTACAATATTTTAAATAATATTATTTTTATATGTATTATATAATAGTGTTTATATATATATATATATATACTGTAAATAATTATAATATTATGATATAAATAAGAAAATACTATCGTTTTTTGATATTCTTTTGAGGGTTCAAGATACAACTGCATGATTGTATGATTACCCTCAGGTCTTTTTGTAAACACAAGAGGTTTAACAGTTCTGCTTTTGCTAAAACTTAAAGATGGAAAAGGGCAGGAAGTAAAAATACTAAGTAAACTGACTATGGCTGAAGTCCAGAGCTGAGAACTGAAGGCACTCATTCAGACATTTCTAAATCTCGAGACACGCCATGCTTTTCCTCAGGTCAAAACTAGAGAAGAACAGCCTTGGGAAAAGTCATACTCTCATAACCTGTCTTCGATAATTCTGTGAGATTTTTACAGTAACAAAAAACTTTTCTAAACGGTTATTTAGACTTTTGACTATTATAAAATTATATTATTATGTTCAATCATGTCATATTCACAACAGAGTTTGATGTGGTAAAATGTTATGCTGTTGTATTTTATGGTTCAGGTTTTGTTTTTATAACTTTATTTTACCATTTCAAACCATAAACAATAGTAAAAGCAGACCAAATAAAAGGCAAACTCACCAAATGTGATCCAAATCCAGCAGAGGAAAATATACTACGTATTGACTCTTTCAGTGTTTATTCAGGTCTGTTGCTTCTCTCCCTTTTTAGCTCCAGTAAATTGGAGGATTTTTTTGGGGTCAACTTCAGCAAACGCCCATTTCCTTGTCGTTGAGTTAGTGCTGTTGTCCTGCACACAGTCCCATCAGATCCTTCTTGTGCGTTCAGGAAACGCATGAGCATGAGCACACGTCTCTCTTTCTTTACTAACCGTTTATCATCTCAGAGGGTGTGCGCTGAGTTCCTACGGGCTTCTATCATAACTTCAGTCTGCTTTGATGATGTTGATTATATGTGTGTGGGTTTCATTCATCATCGCCCAAGAGATGGAGTTATGGTCATTTAACAGGGAAGGGAAAGCCACCTAAATTGGGAAAACGACAGGAACCTCCATGTTTATTTGTCATGCTGTGAACAGTAAATGTCGTGGACCAGGAAAAAAAAATCGATATGTTATATTATCCATATATCTGTTATTATACCTCTACATTTATTATTTCTACAAGTGTTACAAATGCATTCACAATCTTTACATAACTGAAAATACATCATTGGTTAGCATGAATTTAAAGTAAACATATTGTTTTCATCTGGCATTTAAATAAGTATATCAAATAATTTAATTTATTTAAATAATTAAAATAATATTAAAATAATTATAATAGATAATAATAACACAGAAAGAGTTTGTTATTTTATGTTCACATAACAAGTTCATAAAAATTGCAGCAGGTAGATTTAGCTTTAAAAATAATCAGTGACATACATAACTATACAGTACAACCTTAAATGCTTGCTGTTCACTAGTTTAAAAAGATTTGAAATATATACAATAATAATTATTATTAATTATAATTTAGCAATTATTAATTATTATTTGAAGTAAAAATATTTTTGTGATTTAATAGTACATGTGCCATAAAATATTATTATTGTTTATTATTATTATTGTTGTTGTTGTTTCTAAGTAAAATATACATTATTTTTTTATTTTGTGATTTAATAGCACATGCATCAGGGTTAAAAACCACAAAGAATGGATGTTTTTGAATATGTGGTTTAACCAACCCAGGATGAGCTTTATTGCATGACTGCATATGTCTTTATGACTTTCCAAAAGACCAAAGAATATTTTTTCTTTTGTTTTGAGTATTTGAATATAAAAACACATATATTTTGCCAATAAAGACTAACATCAAATGAACAGCGGTTTCTGGGGGTCTATGAACTGTACAGCTTTAATTCAGCATGGCTCAGTAAAACGCACTCCAAGTTTGGCAGATATATTGGGATGACCATGGGACGGGTCGACATTTGTATAATATACAAAAAACAGTTGATGCTGGGAGAAAGGAGAGTAGGAATCGAAGGGAAGGAAATATCATTACACGCCTTAGAATTGGACATACTGGACTTAATAGTACATTATATAGAATTGGTAAGCACCCAACTGGGGAATGTGTACACTGTAATCAACAAGAAACAGTTGAACATGTAGTACTTAAATGTGTACAATACAATAATGAGAGATATCGCCTTATTAAGTCAATGAAGAAAGTTAAACACCATGACTTTTCCTTGTCAGGTTTATTGGGGAAATCAGCTAACAAGATATATGATGATATTATTAAGTTTATAAAAGAATGTGAATTAAGTAAGAGAATATAAATAATATGTTTATTGTTATTTATTAAGAAGAATGTTTTTGTTAAAGGGGTTTTTATTTATTTGTTATTTTTATTTTTTTTGGCCCCTTCCCCTCTTTCACCCATCATATATATTGCATAAATCTTGATCCACACTCCAGTCCAGTCGGTGGCGGTAATGCACCTATTAGTTGGTTTGCCAACCGCCAATAAAACACCAAAGAAGAAGAAGAACACGCACTCCACTGCTTGTAGTTTCCACGCCAGTCCAGTAGGGAGCAGCATTAACTCTATCATCCCCGCCTGGGTTCGTGGAAACCTCTCAACGTCACAGCGTCAGAGGAACAGCAATGGCGACAAGGAGCTCTAGGTTTCCACGGTCCCAAGCAAGCAGAGGAAATTCATGCAAAAACATTTTTAATAAAATCCGACAGGGCCAAATCACTGGTGTTGGGTTGACTAGAGGGTCCCAGGTGAGATGTTAAATTACATGAAGGTCTAAACTGCCTCCGAAGCCTTTCTGAGACACTGTATACATACGAGGCCCTGAAGAGCCATCAATAAAATAGCTCTCAGACAAAAATACATAGCATTTCGACAGTATTACTTGCTTAAGGTACTTAGTGCTAAAATAATGACTGATAATAAGAAGAGTAATAACAAAGTGTCTGACCTGTTTGTCTTATTTGAAGTGTGTTTGACCAGTGTTGTGATTGTGTTGTCAAATGCAGTTTCCTGTGGCTCTGCTGGAGGACAGAGATAAAAGAGCTCAATGGCAGGGGATACCAGTGTTACTGAGGAGACTTCACGAGAGCAGCCATCCGAACAGCGATCTCTCCAAGATTCACAGCATTGTCATGGTATTCAAGATTTCCTTGTCTGTTCACACAAAATGCATCGCCTGAAACCCATTTGTATAATTTGTGATCAGATGTTAATTGAGTTGTTTTGTGATTGTGCAGGAACTGTCATCATTGCTGTCTATGGAGGCCATGTCATTTGTCACAGAGGAGCGCAAAACACCACAGGAGTCGGTTTCACCCAATACATATACGTTTGACTTGTTCGGAGGAGTTGATGTGAGTCCATCTTTAATCTTGATCGGGATAAATTCAATTGTATTCAGGCATTCATATAAGTTATTATTCTAATTCCTCTAGTTTTTAGTTTTGAATTGAACTTGATCAAAAACTGAGAGCCTGTAAAACTGTACAGTATTGTGCAAAAGTTTGGGATCAGTAAGATTTTATTTTTTTAATGAAATTAATACTTTTATTCAGTAAGGGTGCATTAAATGGATCAAAATTGACAGTAAACACATTGAAAATATTACAAAAGATTTATGTTTCAATTAAATGCTGTTCTTTTAAACTTTCTGTTCTTCAAAGAATCCTGAAAAAAATATCAGTTTCCACAAAAAATATTAAACCGCTTAACTGTTTTAACATAGATAATAAGAAGAGTTTCTTGAGCACCAAATAGGCATATTGGAATGATTTTGAATGTTAACGTATATTAATGCAGTCATTTTCTGATATTAAACAGCTGAAGATTTAGAAATGAACACTCTGAAAAATTCAGCCAAAGCAGAGTTTGTGCTACAAATAATTGTCACTTTGATATACTGAGTTTCCCATCATTCCATCATGACATTTTCCATCATGCTCTATTTTTATCCATCAGTAAAATATTGTAACACGTGGTATTTTTTATGACATTGATACTCACAAGAACTTAAGTGGCAAGAGCTTCTCACCAAGCACTGTGTTGTATGTTCTTAGCTTTGTCTTCTTATTCCGCTCTCGCAGTGTGGAAAAGACAGCAAAAAACTGAACTCTTACAAAATATTACAACCAGCACTTTACCTACTTGGAATCATAATATTTGAAATTAAAAGAAACCAGTTTGACTGGTACCGTAATTATCATAATTGCAGAATGCAGATTTGTTAGATACTTAGTAAGCTTTTGTCATTCGTCTACAGTTATTTGTAGAGATTCTGATGCGGCCAACGCTCACAGTACAGGGAGACCTACCCATATGTAAGCCTATTTAAATATTAAATCCAAGTTTCTTTATTTCCATTATTTAAGGACAGAAATAATATTAGATTTTTTTTCAGTAATATATACTGTCCCAGTCATTAAAGGTTTGCTTCATTGTTTTCAGTGAGTGATGATCTCATCAAGGATTGTCTAAGTGTCCTGTACAACTGCTGTATATGTGTAAGTATAAAAAAATGTGCATGACTCTGAAAGGACAGAAATAATAATTATGAATTATTTAGTTTGTTTCCTTATGAGTAACAGCCTCTGCTTTTGGCTGGCAGACAGAGGGCGTTACAAAAAGCCTTGCAGCGAGGGAGGATTTCGTCATGTTCCTGTTCTCTCTCATGTCGAATAAAAAGGTTTTCCTACAAACTGCCACCCTTATTGAGGACATTCTGAGTGTTCGAAAGGTAAAAGCCAAAGCATATACTCTGTTATTCTGATGTTTGGGTTCAGTATAATTATGTTTTGAAAGCAATTAATACTTTTTTTCAGCAAGGGTGCAATAAATAGATCAAAAGTGATAGTAAGAACATTTATAATGTTACAAAAGGTTTTTATTTTAAATACTATGTATCATATATTATATGGATCACGGTTTCCACAAAAATATTAACCAGCTCAAATGTTTTCAACATTGATAATGATAAGAAATTGAACTTCAAATCAGCATATTAAAAATGATTTCTGATGGATCATGTAACATGTAAAAGACTGGAGTAATGACTACTGAAAATTCAGCCTGGCCATCACAGTAATAAATTACATTTCAACATGTATTAAAAGTGTTTTGTGTGTGAACCTGTCATGCTTTTATTTGATCAAAAATATAGTAAAACAGTAATATTAATTATGGAACATTACAATTTAAACTGTTAAATTTTAACGGTTTTATATTTAAATATATTTCAAAATGTATTTTTTTACATGTGGTTTCAAAGCTTAATTTTCATTATTATGACATTGGATTGTAAATGTCTTCATACAGTCTTCAGTGTCATCCTTCTAATATGCTGATTTGCTCAAGAAACGTTATTTATATTTATCAGTGTTGAAAAAAGTTGTGCTCATTAATATTTTTGTTGAAATCATTATGCTTTTTGGTCAAGGATTCTTAGAATGTTCAAAAGAACAGCATTTATTTGAAATAGAAATCTTTCATGTCTTTCAAAAATAAAAAAGATCATACTGACCCTTAACTTTTGAAAGGTAGAGTATTTTGAAACACTTTTTTTTTTTGTGATTTGTTTAGAAATTTTATCTTTACCTTAGCAATGTAGTAAATCACCTTTTTGCTGTTTTAACTTTAGGAAATTATCCAACTTGAAGAAATTCCCAACTTGGCCAGTCTGGTCCAGAGCTTCAACAATTTTATCTTTACCTTAGCAATGTAGTAAATCACCTTTTTGCTGTTTTAACTTTAGGAAATTATCCAGCTTGAAGAAATTCCCAACTTGGCCAGTCTGGTCCAGAGCTTCAACCAGCAGCAGCTGGCCAACTTCTGTCGTATCCTCTCGGTCACCATATCAGAGCCAGACGTGGGTGTAGATGACAAACACACCCTCCTGGCCCGCAGTACCCAGCAAAAGACCAACACATGCCCATCGTGTGCTGAGAGCAACCAGGGTTAGAAAACACAACTGCAGTTAATCCACACAAAATGTTGACACTGATGGTGACAGGGTTATAAATGTCCTCATGTAAAATAGAAATATACATTTTACACTGTCATGTTATCACACATTTGTTTTGATCTTTCCGCAGTGGCTCTGCTGAATATCCCAGGCTTTATTGAGCGTCTTTGTAAGCTAGCCACACGGAAAGTTACAGAGGCGGCGGGTGCCTCTGCCCGACTGGAGCTGGAGGACTGGCACAGTTGGCTTGACAATGCACTCGTACTAGACGCTCTCATGCAGTTAGCAATTGAGGAGGCAGAGCAGAACAGTACAGGTGAGATCCTCCTCTCTCTCTTGCTTTGGTATTTCCATTAGCTTCATTCTTCTCCATACTTTCTTTGCTGTTATTTGGTCTCACCCACTCTGATTGGCTGACTTTCAGAGTCATCTGATGAGAGCTCACTGTCCTCTAGTCCACTCAGACACAGGCTGCCCCAATCTATGAAGATCGTGCATGAGATTATGTACAAAGTGGAGGTTCTCTATGTGCTTTGTGTGCTGCTTATGGGCCGACAGAAAAATCAGGTAATGTGATGAGATTAAAGTGATTGTGAATATTAATACATTTTATATATATATATATATATAACAGTAGTCAACATTTGAAGTGGATCAAAACCTTTCTTGTCCTGAAACCAAAACAATACCCATACTTGTCCTAGGATGACTTTGATGATCCACTTTTTTGATCCACTTCAAATGTTGACTGCTGTATATTATCTATCTATGGCTGCTTGCAACTGAAAATGGTAAAAGAATAAGGTAAGAACAGGTTTGCAATTATTATTAATGCAACTATTTCATGTTTTGAGAGCAAGACATGAAATACTTTACTCAGCACTGAAGAGAAAACAGGAAGTTCTTGTCATAGATTTTTACTCTTGTGACTCAGGTTCACAGAATGTTGGCAGAGTTCAAATTAATTCCAGGTCTCAATAACCTGTTTGATAAACTGATCTGGAGAAGGCAGACTTCTGGTCATGTCCTATATCGGCAGAACCAGAACTGTGACTGCAGTCCAGTAAGGAGCAGCCCTTTATTACCCTGACTTATTTCATTGACTCTTACATATGGTTGGTTACAGTGTGAGAATACTGCTCTTTTCCCCTCTGCATCAGGAGATCTCTTTCAAGATCCAGTTCCTCAGGCTGCTGCAGAGCTTTAGTGACCACCATGAGTGGGTATCACAAAGAGATGCAACACTAAATAATAAGAGACATAGAAAACTGAACTGGACTGATATTAAATGTTTTCTTTATTGTTCACAGGAATAAATACCTTCTTCTAAGTGGACAGGAGCTGAATGAACTGAGTGACATCTACCTGAATGCAAACATCATTGAAATGGAGGCACTGAATAACACAGACAGGCATGAGGACCCTTTTCATATCATATTAATTGATTGCTTCCTTATTCTCAAGTTTTGGTAAATTAACTTTGGTTAATTGGTTTACAGAAACCTTGTCTGTGATGGTAAAAAAGGTCTTCTTACACGGTTAATCTCGGTCATGAGGAAAGAGCCAATTGATTCTTCATTCAGGTAAGATCTTCAGTTACAGTTTATAATGTCTTCTTTCAACTTGGCTGGTTCCATGCCAATTCTCCATGACTTTGACACAACTCGCTTCAGGTTTTGGCAGGCAAGAGCAGTGGAGAGTTTTCTGAGAGGAACGCCATCATATGCCGATCAAGTTTTCCTTCTCAGAAGAGGCTTGTTAGAGGTGGGCAAAATATGTGTGTAATGCATTTCATTGTCTGTGAACATACACTATCGTTCAGCAAGTTTGGGTTCAACAGGTTTTTTTTAATACTTTTTTTTAGCAAGGATACATTAAATTGATCAAATGTGACATTAAATACATCTATGATGTTACAAAAGATTTCTGTTTCAAATAAAGCAAATAAATGCTGTTCTTTTAAACTTTATTCATCAGAGAATCCTGCAGAAAAATAACTATCATGGTTCCACAAAATACTAAGCAGCACAACTGTTTTCAACATTGATAATAATGCATCAAATCAGCATATTAGACTGACTTCTGAAGGATTATGTGACACTGAAGACTGGAGTAATGACTGCTGAAAATTCATCACAGGAATAAATGACTTTTTAAAATATATTAAAATAGAAATCAGTTATTTCAAATTGTAATAATATTTCACAATATTATTGTTTTACTTTAATTCAAATAAATGTGATCAAATAAATGCAGCCTCGATGAGCATAAGAGACATCTTTCGAAAACTTACCAAACTTATTACAACCCCAAACTTTTGAACAACAGTTATAGGACTATTAAGCCATCTCATAATTCTCCTTTCAGCATATTCTATATTGCATCATCGACAGTGGCTGCAAGTCACATGACGTCCTTCAGAGCTACTTTGACCTACTTGGTGAGCTTATGAAGTTCAACATCGATGCCTTCAAAAGATTAAACAAATATGTCAACACTGAGGAGAAGGTAGGTTTACAGTCAGACCCTTGTGATTTTTCTTATGGCAGACACACTGAAATGATCCAGTAGATCTCAAATCTGTCTTTCTCTCTTTTGACACCTCAGTTTCAGATGTTCCTGACTCAGATCAACAGCTCTCTGGTAGACTCTAACATGCTGGTGCGATGTATCGTCCTGTCTCTAGACCGCTTTGAGAGCCAGACTAAAGATATGAAAGGTTTGACTCAAGTGAATGAACAGTTAATTGAGAGATGGATGAAAAATTAGTCCGTTTTAAAAAATGTGTTTCTTTGTCTCTTTTTCTCAGTGGTTGAAGTGTTTTCAGTGTGTCGCCTCTTGTCCTACATGGCTCACGTGGAAAACAGGTTGTCCTTCCTTTTTAGACTGACCAGCATCATCAATGTCCAAACCCTCACTCAGGCAAGTTATAAGATTTCATTTCTTGTGTCAGAGGTTGGCAACCTATGGCACGAGAGCCAACATTGACACAGGGAGGAGTAATCACTGGCACATGAGCAGTAGCAAAAGAGATCCAATTCATTTTAGCTGAAGTCCTTTGCACCTGCACGTCAGTTTACATATTGAAGTAATCATTCTTGTGCAGTTGAGTGGATGACAGTTCAACTCTGTATCCTTTATTTATCCTTTATTCCACACATTTTAATGATGGTGACGTCCAAACTACTACATTTATGAAGAATGATGGGGGCGCTAGTGAGCACCGTAAGGAGTAGATGTGTTTTAGCTGAGCTCCTCTCTATATTTCAAATTATTTGGTCATTATTTTGATTTCTCGATTTTTATAAAGGTATTTTTGCATAACTTCCTTTGTTAAACAGCTGTATAATGACTAAGCCAAAAATGCATTGCATACGTAGGGTGACATGAGTTTTTTCATTTCTGAATGAAAAATTTGTATTCTGTAATAACCATAATTTAATTGTCCTGAAATAATGTTTAAGATCAGTACATTCAAAAATGTTAATGTTAGGAAAATGGAAGGAAAGAAAAATGTTAGTACTGGTTTCAACAAGGGATGTCATGGGAGCATTCCCATGATCGATTGTCGTTTAAATTAACAATCAATGAATCGATTAATTGTTAACCTTAATACTGCAAAATGCATCTATTGCAGTAACAGTCACCGGCAGTGACAGGATGTACAAATGGCACTCAAAACACCAGCTTCCTCACCCAAATGAAAGGGGTTTTTAGTCTAAATAAAAGCCTAGTAGTAGGATTGTAAAATGAATAGATGTGATTATGATAATTTGATGTAATGAAGTGCGCACGCCGTAGTTACTTTTGGCATAATTTTACTTTAAATGGAGGTTACTGTTGGCTGTTTCCTATCCTGTCACGGAGACTGCTGAATGCGCCTTTCTAAAATGATTTCACGGTGCTTGTCATTGTATTGTACAACACAATAGCAATGTTTACATTTAACATTATTGCCATTTAAAATTAAGTTATAACTACAACGCATAAGGCTTTGCCAGTCAGTGATAACCGCTTCCACCGGTGGTGCTACGACAGAGATACTATGGATTCTATGGAATACCAAACCTGACAAAATTATAAATAAATAAATACAAAAATATATATACAAAGAAATGTTAAAAAAAAGCAAAAATAAATAAATACAGAAATAAAAATACAAAGAAAAGTTAAATACATTAATAAATAATTATTATACTTTTATTTCCTTATTTATATTTTTATTTTATCACATTTTATTTTTTCTTTATTTATACATTTCTTTATTTCCACTTTTATTTATTTCTACATTTCTTTGCCCGTAGGGTAATGAGGAGGGCGTGTTTTAGCTCAGGAATAGCAATCAAGCCAGAGTAGGCGAGTTGACTGCTTTGAGGCCACAGTGACACTTGTGGTGCCCAAACGAAATACAAGAAGTGTACATTTGTAGTGAGTTGATAGTGGGATGAATGACTTAGATGGGTAATATTGACAAAATCTTATATCATGGGTTAAGTCATTTAATATCACCCTAACTGTATGTATAGCCTGGGTGACATGGATACATATACTCTTTATTCTGGACATTTAACATCTTCAACAGATCTGATAACGGGTTACAGGTTCTCTTTACAGGAATTTATAGGTTAGGCCTATATAGGCCTTTTTTTTGGATAGTATTTAGGTTATATGCTAATAATAATAATAATAATACTAGAAAGGAAGGAATAAAGTAGAAAGAAATGATACGTGAAAAAAATGCCTGGGAGGATGAGATAATACCACCTCTTAATGGAAAAGTTTGTTTCTGTTGCTGTCAATATTGTTTTTGGAAGTTACATTAAAATGCAGTTAGCTCAAAAATCTGAGGGCACATGACAGGTGCTGTTTGAATGAGCATAATGCTTCTGTGTATGTTCAATGCATGGCGTGTGTTTCACTAGCTCCACTCCCATGGACACACCTAGTCGCATTTCAAATGCATTGATCAATATGCTTGTCGTGTCGACTTCACTGTAATGTGCGCTGGTTCCTTTCCTTGTTCTGAGCTGCTGTCCGAGTCTCAATCAAACGCAAGCTCTTATCAGCCCCATCCATTCACACCAAATTTGATTAATACGGGAAAATATCAAGCGTTTCCCTTTCAGAGTGCCTGTTATCAGATCTGTTGAAGATGTTACTGTTCATGTTTGCCAGCCCAAGACATTTTAGAAATCCAGACCGGACTATGTTTTAGGGACATGCCTGGAAAAAAGAGTATATGTATCCACGTCACCCGGTAGATTATACATACAGTTAGGGTGATATTAAATGACTTATTGTATCATAATTCTGTTTTCGCATCTCTAGTAAAAAAAAAAGTACTGTAGACAATTTTTCCTTGGCAAAACGACAGATTGTTAGTCAAACCTAATTATTTTATAGACAGATCTTATCTCATGGGTTTCAGACTTTATTGCTCGTCACATTCAATTTTAACACAGTTTGTGTTTGTTAGACAAGGCACGTCAAGTTTATCTGTACAGAGCCCTGGACATGATATGTGGGGGGGGAATAAAAGATGCCATGGTCACGAATTAAGAATTACGAATTAACTAGTTGTAGGAATTAGTTATTCAAGGGTTAGTTCACCCAAAAATGAAAATTAGCTTGTGTTTTACTCACCCTCGAAGCCTCCTAGGTGTATATGAATTTCTTCTTTCAGACGAATCCAGTCGGAGTTATATTAAAAATGGTCCTGGCTATTCCAAGCTCTATCATTGCAGTCAGC